TGACAGGCACAAAGTCAACCTCCTGCAGCAACCTGTCTGTGCTGCCACTATGGCTCCAGCGTCGTCCTTCTGCAGCAACCTGTCTGTGCTGCCGCCATGGCTCCAGCGTCGTCCTCTTCCCGCTGGCTGCTGCGCACACCGCCAGTCTCTCTGCAGCCCCGTGGCACAGCTCTGCTCCTTGGACACGCCGCGCCCTCCTCGGCCCAAGGCCCTAACAAGATGCAGAGGCACAGCACCAACATCGCACCACTCACATGGGGGAGGTGAGGGCAACTCACAATCCTCCACACTTGGTCGCTTGTCCACATCCCGGGACGGTGCTCCAGGTGCCATTCTGCGTTCCCGGGTGGTCAGGCGTTCGTGTCCTTGCCAGAGACGTCACCGTCCAGGGGCGTCTCTCACTCTCAGACCTCATGCATGTCTCAGGTGTCTGCTGCTCTCTTGAACTCTCTCCTCAGTTCCTTTTATACCTCCATTGCACCTGTGGCCATTCCACACCTGTTCCCACTTGTTCCAATTAGTGTCTCTGGGAGGTACCACAAAGGGAGAAAAAAACCATTCAAAACACAAAATAAGCATGTCAACAGCAAAACACAAATCATGGAACTTAAACTAAATCCAAACTTTTCCACTTTGTGACTCTTGCGTGCATGCATGTGTGAGTAAAAGCCATGTGTAGTGTTTGTTATTTATAAAGCATATGTTGTTGGATTTTATCCAGAATCGAGACTTTGAAAATATATAGTTTAATTACAGTTTGATTTATATGACATCTGTATAATTTTTATTATTTTGTTTTTTCCCCCTAAATGCCTAACGTTTTAGTTTAACATGAATATTAGTCATTCATCCCAATACATAAAGTTACACATTTTAAATTTTAATAGGGGAAGACTGCAGGAGGGAGCCTTAAAGTACAGGGGGTCCCCAGCAAAAACCAACATTACGACTCTGATGAAACCTGCTGGTGTTCCTTCAGCAGGCCTGGTGACAGCTCCAACGACCCAGTGGCTGTGCTTGGTCAATGTTATCGAGCTCAGTCCGGCTCGGCCGTGAACGAGCCGAGGCGACATCCTGCTCTGCTTAAGAAGAAGTTATTTTCCCGCTTCAGAAGAAGCGTCCGTGTTTTTACGCTTTCTCAGAGTCATGTCACATCGCTAAGTTGTTAGCGCCACGCGCTAACACGTCAACAGTGCAGCGTAGCCTGCTGGAGATTTTAAGGGTTCAGATGAAAACACCCTACCACTCAGGCTGCTTACACATCGATATTAAGTTGTCGCTGTTGCGCTCACGCCGTAATACAGCATTAGATGTGGTTAAAGTCAGACATGAAAAACTCCACGAGCGGTCAGACCGCGCAGCAGCTAGGCGCAGCAAGTAGGTGCCGCATCGGTCAGGCTGCCCGGCCTGACCGCTGGGGATTACCGGATGGAAGAATGGACACAGAAGTCTCACTCCAAGCGCTCCGTCATATTGCAACCCATTTTTATCTTAAATGCACTGGGTTTTACCCATCGAAATATGCCCTATTAATTATTTTACCGTATTTTACATTTAAATTTCATGGTTAAACAGTACATGCTACATGTTAAACTGATAGTTAGCTAGCTACTTTGGTGAACTCAGCTAGTTTAAAGGCGGCAGTGACATAAAATATGAATATAGACTTTAACTTACCGAAAAAAATGAAGTGGAGACTCCTTGGACGCTCTATTAGTGCAATTAATACCACTGCAAGTCATTTTGTCCAACAATTGCACCAATAATATCCAAAACAGAATTCACAAGCACAGAGACTCAAAATCCCGAAACAGTTTCCAGGAGACACCGAGGCTGTACTGAGGCCTTTCCACGGAGCTAGCTCTGTGGTCACGTGGGTCTGAGGGGGCTGTCACGTGTGTCGGATGCTCATTAATTATACAGAATTTTAGGCTTTCAATACACTTAAACAGAAGAGTGAGAAAAAAATTCACCCCCCTCAGAGTTGTCATGAGTATAAACTAGATAATTTAGACAAAAAACATGTTTTGGTACCAGGCTGTAAACATGTTTATATCTGCTGTGAAATCAGCATTTTTAACATGGGAGTCAATGAGGATTTGCTCGCTTCTGGCACCAGCCTCCAGCGGATGAGGGTGGAACTGCAATTTTTCTTACTTCCGGGATGGGACCATTTTTAGAGCGGCATTGTGGGGGCTTGGTTCGAACATGGTGTTCGTTATGGCCAAACTGCGGCTTGCACAGAAGTCCAATAACGAAACACCACTTGAGTTCAGATCAGGCGGGCCGTTCCTCCCAATCACACCCCTCCAGGTCAAGCTGTCATTGCCCACGTGAGCATTGAAGTCCCCCAGCAGGACAATGGAGTCCCCTGATGGAGCACTATCTAGCACTCGTCCCAAGGACTCCAAAAAGGGTGGGTACTCTGAACTGATATTTGGCCCATAAGCTCAAACAACAGTCAGGACCCGTTCCCCGACCCGAAGGCGCAGGGAAGCTACCCTCTCGTCCCCTGGGGTAAACCCCAACACACAGGCAGAGAGTCTTGGGGCTATCAAAAAGCCAACCCCAGCCCTCCGCCTCTCACCCAGAGCAACTCCAGCAAAGGAGAGTATCCAACCCCTCTCAAGGACTTGGGTTCCAGAGCCAATGCTATGTGTCGAGGTGAGTCCGACTATATCTAGCCTGTACCGTTCAACCTCTGCCACAAGCTCCTGCTCCTTCCCCACCAGCGAGGTGACGTTCCATGTCCGAATAACCACTTTCCTTGTCCAGGGATCGGACCGCCAAGGCTCCCGCCTTGGTCTGCCACCCGATCCACACTGCACCAGACCCTTCATGTTCCTCATGTGGGTGGTGGATCCACAGTTGGATGAGGCCATGTATCCAGTCCGGGCTGGGCCTGGCCCGGCCCCATGGGCGAAAGCCTGCCCACCAGGCGCTCGGTCACGGGCCCCAACCTGATCACTGATGTATAGATTGCAGTTCTCTTAAATAACATGCAAACCATCAATATAACATGACAAATAATAACCTCTTAACCATGTTCTTGCCATATTTACATTATTTCTGTTCTTATATCAACTGATATGAATTAGTATCAAGTGAACAGTTTTATATGCAGTAGTCCTTCAACCTGTCACAATAGCATTCATATTTCTGGATGGTTTTAAAGTAACAACAGAACTGACACGTTATTACCGGTAATTTGCATGTTTAGAAGAAAAGAACAGCGCTGACACAGCATTAATAAGCCCTGGATGATTAGAAAATAAAAACTGCACACAAAACATGCCTGGTTAGTAAATAAAACACACTTGCCTACCAGAAGAAGTCATTCGCTCTCATCTTCCTCCTCCGCACTAAAGCCATTAAAGTCCTCTTCTTCAGTGTCGGAGTTGAACAGCCTCAGAAGAGCTTCGTCACGTACCTTTTCTGTGGCGATGACAGTGTCGCTGTCCGTGTTGCTGTCATCATCCCCGGGTGAAGCTGGCTTGAATGAGTTCTTCCCGCTGCCGTCTCCAGCGCCGAACCATGGATTCATTCATGCCAAGCTTACGTGCGGCAGCACTGTTTCCCTCCTTTACTGCCAGATCGATGGCCTTCAACTTAAATGCGGCATCATATGAACTCATGCGTGTAGTTACCATGATGAGGGGGTATGGATTTGAAAAACATTCGTCGTCGTGCCGGCTGCTTGCATGTGCTACATTAATATGAGCACTTTCTTCGATTTCCACTTTTGACTTCCACCTGTTTCACGTTCTGCTAAAGCGCCCCCTAGTGGCAGGTGAAGGAAGATCTTCAGTAAAGCTGCACCTCATTATAAGCCACATGATTCAAAGCGTGGGAAAAAAGTAGCGGCTTATAGTCCGGAAAATATGGTATATAATAGCTCTTCTTGAGTTTATGATGGTGTTGATTTAGCTGATTTCCATTATCTCACTTATATCTCTGTAAACTGCTGTTTAATGTTATTGTCAGTCGTGTTTGCCTTATTGTGTTTTATTATTTTATTTGTTCTTTATTATTTTACTTATTTGTTCTTTGTGTTGTTGTTTTCTTTTTGTATGGTTACCCTATTCGGATAAACAGGAGGGATTATGTCATGGAAATTTTATATTTCATTATTTTAATCCTATTAACAAATGTATAACCTTATGCATGAAAGCATTCACACACACACACACACACACACACACACACACACACACACACACACACACACACACACGCTTATTGATAAATATATTGATAAAATCCCTAACAGAACAGAAACATAATCTGTGACCTCAGCGCTACAGAATAAGAATAATGTTGGGTAATTTTATCGCTCCAGGATTACCTCAGAGAAAGTTCAAAGCACAGGGAGTAATTAATTAGTCAAAACCAATACCAATGATCAACATTCAACCATCAATTTAGACTTTGCAAAGTGGAGAGTAAAAGAATACACCAAACCAGGTCTCAGTTCACTCTCATCAGACAAAGTCCTCCAAAAGTATTTATTAAGGCAGACACACAAAATGATAAACGCACACACATTCACACACACACACACACACACACACACACACACACACACACACACACACACACACACACACACACACACACACACACACACACACATTCGAGGTTCTCACAGACTCTCAGGCAGGAAGACACTCCAGGTGCAATTCGAAAACAATAAAGCTGTCTGGACATTCTCAAGGGAGTTCTACTGATAAGGGGGACTAGGACTGGTACCAGGCGAGGTCAAACCTCCCAAAACGTCCTCCCTGTAAAAACTGAAAAGGCCTGTCTGTTACCCGAGTAAAAGAAATGGATGAAGCTTCGTTTAACAACACCAGATGTTAAACAGTCAGGTTATTAATAACATTAATAAAGTCAATATCAGGTTTTATCCATCAAATAACAAGTTTAATTTTCCTTTAATGGACAAACCAGAAGTAGATTTACTGTAGACGAAGACTCCTCCTCTTCCTTCTTTAACACAAAGCTGTGAAGCTTGAAGGAAACCAACAGAACTTCTGCTTAAACAGAGGAGCGAGGGCACGTTTATGGTGAGTTTAGAGGATTTTCTGTCAACAACAAATAAAATCACTGATTAATAATTTCCTACAATTATTCTTGTTTTTAGATTTTAGTTCAGATTTTCTTGCTTTGGTTTTAAAACATTGAACTAAACTACAAATTTTTGTTAATTATTTGACTTTTACTGAGAAAATCTGTTATTATTTTAAAGATAAGATTTTAAAACTCTTGCAAGAAACAAACATTTATGTTTCTGTATTTTAAAAACTGTGTGTGTGTGTGTGTGTGTGTGTGTGTGTGTGTGTGTGTGTGTGTGTGTGTGTGTGTGTGTGTGTGTGTGTGTGTGTTCTCAGACTGACTGTGGTGATGATGATTTGTCAACAGAACTCTGAACAAGGTGAGAACATCTTCAAACCAACATACTGAACACATCTGGTGTCTTTAGAAAATCTTTAACAACCAGAAACATCAGAAAGACTCAGGAGGACCGATGTCTCTGTGGCAACAACACATTAATGTCTGCTGTCAATAACTTCCTGTTTTTAACCAAAAACTAGAGTCACATCTGAGTTATTTTATCTAAAACTTGTGTAGAATTCATGCAGCAGAAGCTGTTAACTGGAGTCCATGATGGAGCAGATGTTGGTTGTATGTTGTGAGTGGGTCCAGATGTTGGTTGTATGCTGTGAGTGGGTCCAGATGTTGGTTGTATGTTGTGAGTGGGTCCAGATGTTGGTTGTATGTTGTGAGTGGGTCCAGATGTTGGTTGTATGCTGTGAGTGGGTCCAGATGTTGGTTGTATGCTGTGAGTGGGTCCAGATGTTGGTTGTATACTGTGAGTGGGTCCAGATGTTGGTTGTATGTTGTGAGTGGGTCCAGATGTTGGTTGTATGTTGTGAGTGGGTCCAGATGTTGGTTGTATGTTGTGAGTGGGTCCAAATGTTGGTTGTATATAGTGTGTGGGTCCAAATGTTGGTTGTATGTTGTGAGTGGGTCCAGATGTGGGTTTTATGTTGTGAGTGGGTCCAGATGTTGGTTGTATGTTGTGAGTGGGTCCAGATGTTGGTTGTATGTTGTGAGCGGGTCCAGATGTTGGTTGTATGTTGTGAGTGGGTCCAGATGTTGGTTGTATGTTGTGAGTGGATCCAGATGTTGGTTGTATGCTGTGAGTGGGTCCAGATGTTGGTTGTATGTTGTGAGTGGGTCCAGATGTGGGTTGTATGTTGTGAGTGGGTCCAGATGTGGGTTGTATGTTGTGAGTGGGTCCAGATGTTGGTTGTTTTCTGTGAGTGGGTCCAGATGTTGGTTGTATGTTGTGAGTGGGTCCAGATGTTGGTTGTATGTTGTGAGTGGGTCCAAATGTTGGTTGTATGTTGTGAGTGGGTCCAGATGTGGGTTGTATGCTGTGAGTGGGTCCAGATGTTGGTTGTATGTTGTGAGTGGGTCCAGATGTTGGTTGTATGTTGTGAGTGGGTCCAGATGTTGGTTGTATGTTGTGAGTGGGTCCAGATGTTGGTTGTATGTTGTGAGTGGGTCCAGATGTTGGTTGTATGCTATGAGTGGGTCCAGATGTTGGTTATATGTTGTGAGTGGGTCTAGATGTTGGTTGTATGTTGTGAGTGGGTCTAGATGTTGGTTGTATGTTGTGAGTGGGTCCAGATGTGGGTTGTATGTTGTGAGTGAGTCTAGATGTTGGTTGTATGTTGTGAGTGGGTCCAGATGTGGGTTGTATGTTGTGAGTGGGTCCAGATGTTGGTTGTATGTTGTGAGTGGGTCCAGATGTTGGTTGTATGTTGTGAGTGGGTCCAGATGTTGGTTGTATGCTGTGAGTGGGTCCAGATGTTGGTTGTATGTTGTGAGTGGGTCCAGATGTTGGTTGTAAGTTGTGAGTGGGTCCAGATGTTGGTTGTATGTTGTGAGTGGGAGCAGATGTTGGTTGTATGTTGTGAGTGGGTCTAGATGTTGGTTGTATGTTGTGAGTGGGTCCAGATGTTGGTTGTATGTTGTGAGTGGGAGCAGATGTTGGTTGTATGTTGAGAGTGGGTCTAGATGTTGGTTGTATGTTGTGGGTGGGTCCAGATGTTGGTTGTATGTTGTGAGTGGGTCTAGATGTTGGTTGTATGTTGTGAATGGGTCCAGATGTTGGTTGTATGTTGTGAGTGGGTCCAGATGTTGGTTGTATGTTGTGAGTGGGTCTAGATGTTGGTTGTATGTTGTGAATGGGTCCAGATGTGGGTTGTATGTTGTGAGTGAGTCTAGATGTTGGTTTTATGTTGTGAGTGGGTCCAGATGTTGGTTGTATGTTGTGAGTGGGTCCATATGTTGGTTGTATGTTGTGAGTGGGTCTAGATGTTGGTTGTATGTTGTGAATGGGTCCAGATGTGGGTTGTATGTTGTGAGTGGGTCCAGATGTTGGTTGTAAGTTGTGAGTGGGTCCAGATGTTGGTTGTATGTTGTGAGCGGGAGCAGATGTTGGTTGTATGTTGTGAGTGGGTCCAGATGTTGGTTGTATGTTGTGAGTGGGTCCAGATGTTGTTTGTATGTTGTGAGTGGGTCTAGATGTTGGTTGTATGTTGTGAGTGGGTCCAGATGTTGGTTTTATGTTGTAAATTGGTCCAGATGTGGGTTGTATGTTGTGAGTGAGTCTAGATGTTGGTTGTATGTTGTGAGTTGGTCCAGATGTTGGTTGTATGTTGTGAGTGGGTCTAGATGTTGGTTGTATGTTGTGAATGGGTCCAGATGTGGGTTGTATGTTGTGAGTGAGTCTAGATGTTGGTTTTATGTTGTGAGTGGGTCCAGATGTTGGTTGTATGTTGTGAGTGGGTCCAGATGTTGGTTGTATGTTGTGAGTGTGTCTAGATGTTGGTTATATGTTGTGAATGGGTCCAGATGTGGGTTGTATGTTGTGAGTGGGTCCAGATGTTGGTTGTAAGTTGTGAGTGGGTCCAGATGTTGTTGTATGTTGTGAGTGGGTCCAGATGTGGGTTGTATGTTGTGAGTGGGTCCAGATGTTGGTTGTATGTTGTGAGTGGGTCCAGATGTTGGTTGTATGTTGTGAGTGGGTCCAGATGTTGGTTGTATGTTGTGAGTGGGTCCAGATGTTGGTTTTAAAAATAATCAAATATTCAGAATCGTTGCTGTCAAGTTCCACAGAACCGCAGATGTTTATCTAAATGTTCTTATTGGGTAAACTGGTTCTTATCAGTAAAGCTGGGATGATCAGCATCAGAGAACATCTTATCTCCATGGTAACGGAGTCGTTTCCTGTTGCTAACCTCTCACATCACAAACTGTTACAGATCTAAAGTGTTGCAACAAGCTAAGTTAGATCCTTTAGTGTTGAATAAAACTAAACTCGACACATCTGCAGCTACAACATCTGATTACACTGTAAAAACACTCTGGTTTATAACAAATAAATAAAACATGTCTGGTCCTTGCGGGGGGGGGGGGGGGGGGGGGGGGGGGTTAGGATGTACGGTTCTTACAGGTTCTACCTGGTGGTGAAGGTGACTGATCAGCCTGTTTTTTAACCAAGAAGCTTCGTTACAACAAAGAAATAATCAACCAGACGCGTTTGCTGAGTCTGTGTGACGATCACGTTTGATCCTGTTGAACTGGAGGAGGATCCTGAGTGTGTCTGAGTTGGTGTGATGTTGGTTGTTTATGTTTATGTTTATGTTTATGTATTTAGCAGACGCTTTTGTCCAAGGCGACTTACAAGTGATAATCGGCATGTTGCCCTTGAGGCTAACAACAAAAATAACAACAACAACAACAACAACAAACAATTTCCAGTCAGTCGTAGGTGGCAGTGAGGCAGCATGATGAATTATGGAGAGGAGAGAACAAGGAGTGGACAGTAGAGAGAGAGGACTGGTGCAGGGAGGGTGCTTAAGAAGATGCTCTCTGAAGAGCAGGGTCTTCAGTAGTTTCTTGAAAGTCGAAAAGTAAGCCGCTGTTCTGGTAGTGCTTGGTAGGTCATTCCACATTTGTAGAATGATGCATGAGAAGAGTCTGGATTGTGCTGAGCGTGGTGTAGGCACTGCTAGCCCTTGATCCTGTGATGACCGGAGCGGCCGGGCCGAGACGTAAGTCTGGTTGTATGTTGTGAGTGGGTCCAGATGTTGGTTGTATGTTGTGAGTGGGTCCAGATGTTGGTTGTATGTTGTGAGTGGGTCCAGATGTTGGTTGTATGTTGTGAGTGGGTCCAGATGTTGGTTGTATGTTGTGAGTGGGTCCAGATGTTGGTTGTATGTTGTGAGTGGGTCCAGATGTTGATGTGGCTCTCCTCTAAATGCTCCTCAGGTGAAGCTGCTGCCTCTCAGCATGAAAAACCAAACAGGAAGTCAAATCAGCTTCTCTGGGCTCTGCTGGCTGCTGCTCTCATCATTATCTACAGACTCGGTGAGTTCTGACTGATTTATTTACTATTTCATGTGTTAGAGGACAAGAGGAGAACTCTGTTATTCTGATTTCATCTGATTTTAACTTCTGTCTTTTCTTTAATCAGCTTTTGATAAAATTAGAACCAATAAAACTCTCCAAACCCTGAAGGAGGAGAAAGGAGCTCTACAGGAGGACAACAAGGTTCTAAGTGAGGAGAATGAAGCTCTGAGAAAACACATCTCAGGTGAGAGTGTCTGGTTTGAAAGAGTCCAGAAGGTTCAGCCTGGAGGTCTGATTCAGGCCTGTCAGGATGGTTTAATCTGAGACTTTCTGGATCATATATGATGTTTTTCTCTAATTCCTTACAATATACAACTAATAACAAGGTGTTATTTTCTTTCCCTGAGTGTTTAGACCAACCACTAACTAATATATTCACCACTGATGCTGTAAGAAAACATAAATACACATTTTTAATGATCTCTCAGTTAAAACATTCTGAGTAGCACAGCCCACTGTAGATGACATGTAAGTAGAGGTTTTCTCCTCCTGACCTTTCTGTCCTGTAATGATGTTAAAGAAACATTGATGGAGCCACAGAAACAGGAAGTTAGATGGTAACTGCAGGACAGAAGACACCTCCTGCTGCCTCCTAATCACACAAACATCCACAGAGATTTCTTCCTCCTGGATGAATCCAGTCTTTGTTCTCATCTGTTCTAAGATCATGTTTGGCTGAGGTCGGACAGAAACTGGGAGAAACACGGAGACAAGTGTTATTATTTCAGTAACATTATCTTACCCTGGAAAGGGAGCAGAAGTTTCTGTGAGGCTCTGGGAGCAGACCTGGTAAAGATTGACAGCAGAGAGGAGCAGGTATGAAACACTGCTGCAGGTTCATATTCTCACAGATTTCATGATCGTGTTTCTTCATCTGAGCTCAGAAACGTCTCTGAGTCATTTTCATCTGATTTGATTCAGGAGTTCCTGGTGGAGAAATTGAAAAACATTGTGATGGATGGTATTTGGGACGGTTTCTGGATCGGACTGACAGACTCCGAGGTAGAAGGCATCTGGACCTGGGTGGACGGATCTCCACTGGACAGCAGGTCTGATGATTGTGTGAATATTTCAGTCAGTTTCAGAAAATCAACTTGACAAGGCTTTTCTGGATCAGAGTCTGCAGTTTTAATGGATTTTGTTCTTTTTACTCATCTGTCAGAATGAAGTTTTGGTTAAAAGGAGAGCCCAATAATGCTAAAACAAGCAGTGCATCTGGAGAGGACTGTGCGATGATTGTGAAGAGAGAAGCTGAAGATCTGAACACCTGGATTGATGAAACCTGTAGCCTTGTTCATAAAAGTATCTGTGAGAAACCAGCAGGAACTGGACCGAGTTCATCTGTTTGTGGCTGAAGTTCAGTTCAGTCTCTGGAACAACCTGAGTCCAGGATCCAGGAGGAGCAGAAATTATGTTTGTAGAAAGTTCATCTCACTAACAGCTGAAGCTTCATTTTAAATGTATGGAAGAGAAAAATATTATATTTTCTCACATTTTCTTTTTCCTCCTTTAGCTAAAATACAAAAGCCTAACCCATAAATAAAAAACAACATTCAATCATAAATTAGAGTAGAGACTGCTATTTTGTCTAAAACAGAACTCTTGTTCGTTTTAAACAAGCAGATGCGTGCAGTTCGATCAGACTAAATCTGAACGTTCCCGAAAGCTTACGATAAGTGTTTAAAAGCTGTAGCGGAGAACGGGTGCCATCTTTCCAGCCGGTGGCTGGCTGTTAGCGGTTAGCTCCCACTAACGTGAAGAATGAAAAGGAGTCTCTGACTCGGAGACGCAGTGTCTCAACAAAGGGGCGAATAAACGGTCAAACACACTCAAACACACAATCAAACAACACATTCACTTACTTTAGCAGTTAGGATGTCTTTTAAACAGTCCCACAGACCTGTGGATTATCGCTGCATCAGAATTGCCGGATGTTTATGCTGGATGTCGGTGTCACCATAAAAGCTTCCCTCCTGGAAGTTTCCGGAGGAAGAAAATTAAGGTGGGACACCTTCCGTTTTTAGTAAAATATTGAAAATAAAACACAGAAATAACGTTTTTATTTAGGAAGAATGGCTCCGGATTATTGAATAAGACTGGGTTATGCTCGCCAACTATGTAGAGAATTAAACTACACACTGGAATCAACTCTGTTGCTATTCAGTTGGAGATTCCGAAAAATGACCAATCAGATTAACCTATGAGGCTTAGATCATGTATAAATATCCCGGATACTTATAAATCGATCTAAGTTCATACACCAACCTGTTTGGTCTTATTTTAATCCAAAGATTAAAGATTTAACGTTGTCGGAGTACCCTGCCCGGAGGGTTACCGGGGTCCCACCCTGGAGCCAGGCCTGGGGTTGGGGCCCGTAAGCGAGCGCCTGGTGGCCGGGCTTTCGCCCATGGGACCCGGCCGGGCCCAGCCTGAACTGGATGCATGGGCTCATCCAACTGTGGACCCAACTGCCGCAGGAGGAGCATGAAGGGTCCGGTGCAATGTGGATCGGGTGGCAGACCAAGGCGGGAGCCTTGGCGGTCCGATCCCCGGACAAGAAAACTGTTTTTTGGGACATGGAACGTCACCTCGCTGGCGGGGAAGGAGCAGGAGCTTGTGGAAAAGGTTGAGCGGTACCGGCTAGATATAGTCGGACTCACCTCGACACATAGCATTGGCTCTGGAACCCAAGTCCTTGAGAGGGGTTGGACACTCTCCTTTGCTGGAGTTGCTCCGGGTGAGAGGCGGAGGGCTGGGGTTGGCTTTTTGTTAGCCCCAAGACTCTCTGCCTGTGTGTTGGGGTTTACCCCGGGGGACGAGAGGGTAGCTTCCCTGCGCCTTCGGGACGGGGAACGGGTCCTGACTGTTGTTTGTGCTTATGGGCCAAATATCAGTTCAGAGTACCCACCCTTTTTGGAGTCCCTGGGACGAGTGCTAGATAGTGCTCCATCAGGGGACTCCATTGTCCTGCTGGGAGACTTCAATGCTCACGTGGGCAATGACAGCTTGACCTGGAGGGGTGTGATTGGGAGGAACGGCCCGCCTGATCTGAACTCAAGTGGTGTTTCGTTATTGGACTTCTGTGCAAGCCGCAGTTTGGCCATAACGAACACCATGTTCGAACATAAGGATGCCCATCTGTACACTTTGTACCAGGGCAGCCTAGGTCGCAGGTTGATGATAGACTTTGTAGTCGTATCAGCTGACCTGCGGCCGTATGTTTTGAACACCCGAGTGAAGAGAGGAGCGGAGCTGTCAACTGATCACCACCTGGTGATCAGATGGCAGGGGAAGATGCCGCGTAGACCTGGTAGACCCAAACGCATAGTGAGGGCCTGCTGGGAACGCCTGGCAGAAGAACCTGTTAAGATGGTCTTCAACTCCCACCTCCGGCAGAGCTTTGACCGCGTCCCGAGAGCAGTGGGGGACATTGAATCAGAGTGGGCTTTGTTCCACTCTGCGATTGTTGAGGCGGCTGTTGCTAGCTGTGGTTGCAAGGTGGCCAGTGCCAGTCGTGGTGGCAACCCCCGTACACGCTGGTGGACACCAGAGGTTCGGGGAGCCGTCAGGCTGAAGAAGGAGGCCTACAGGGCGTGGCTGGTCTGTGGGTCTTCGGAGGCAGCAGACAGGTACCGGATAGCCAAGCGGGGTGCAGCAGTGGCAGTTGCCGAGGCAAAATCTCAGGCGTGGGAGGAGTTTGGTGTGGCCATGGAGAAAGACTATCGATCGGCTCCAAAGAGGTTCTGGCAAACTGTCCGGCGCCTCAGGAGAGGAAGGTAGCAACTTGCTCACACTGTTTACAGTGGGGATGGGGAGCTGCTGACGTCAACTGGGTCTATAGTCGGACGGTGAGAGCTCCTCAATCCCACCTATGCGCATTCCGAGGAGGAACCAGAGCCGGGAGACCTGGGGATGGACTGTCCAATCTCAGGGGCAGAAGTTGCTGAGGTAGTCAAACAACTACACAGCAGCGGGGCCCGGCGGGCGGATGAGGTTCGTCCTGGGTATCTCAAGGCTATGGATGTTGTAGGGCTGTCATGGTTGACACGCATCTGCAACATTGCATGGTCATCGGGGGCAGTTCCTGTGGAGTGGCAGACCGGGGTGGTGGTCTCCAACTTTAAGAAGGGTGACATGAGGGTGTGTTCCAACTATAGTGGGATCACACTCCTCAGCCTCCCTGGAAAGGTCTACTCCAAGATACTGGAGAGGAGGGTCCAATCGATAGCTGAATCTCGGATTGAGGAGGAGCAATGTGGTTTACATCCTGGCCGTGGAACTGTGGACCAGCTCCATACCCTTGCAAGGGTGATGGAGGGGGCATGGGAGTTTGCCCAACCAATCTACATGTGTTTTGTGGATTTGGAGAAGGCTTATGACCGTGTCCCCAGGGGCACCCTGTGGGGGACGCTCCAGGAGTATGGGGTGGGTGGCTTTCTGTTAAGGGCCATTCAGTCCCTTTACCAGAGGAGCGTGAGTTTGGTCCGCATAGCCGGTAGTATGTCGGACCTGCTCCCGGTGAGGGTTGGACTCCGCCAGGGCTGCCCTTTGTCACCGGTTCTGTTCATTACCTTTATGGACAGAATTTCTAGACGCAGCCGTGGTGTGGAGTGTGTCGAGTTTTGTGGCAGGAGAATCTCGTCTCTTCTTTTTGTGGATGATGTGGTCCTCCTAGCTTCATCCAGCTCTGACCTTCAGCTCTTGCTGGGTAGGTTCGCGGCCAAGTGTGAAGCGGCTGGGATGAGGATCAGCACTTCCAAATCTGAGACCATGGTTCTGGAACGGAAAAGGGTGGCTTGCCACCTCCGGGTCGGGGGAGAGGTCCTACCTCAAGTGGAGGAGTTTAAGTATCTCGGGGTCTTGTTCACGAGTGAGGGTAGGAGGGATCGAGAGATCGACAGGCGGATTGGTTCAGCATCTGCAGTGATGCGGACACTGAGCCGATCTGTCATGGTGAGGAGGGAGCTGAGCCAGAAAGCCAGGCTCTCGATTTACCGGTTGATCTACGTCCCAATCCTCACCTATGGTCATGAGCTTTGGGTAATGACCGAAAGAACGAGATCGCAGATACAAGCGGCCAAAATGAGTTTCCTCCGTAGGGTGGTCGGGCTCAGCCTTAGAGATAGGGTGAGGAGCTCGGACATTCGGGAGGGACTCGGAGTAGAACCGCTGCTCCTCCGGATCAAAAGGAGCCAGTTAAGGTGGTTTGGGCATCTGGTCAAGATACCTCCTGGATGCCTCCCCGGGGAGGTGTTTCGGGCATGTCCTGCCAGCAGAAGGCCCCCGGGTCGACCCAGGTTACGTTGGAGAGATTACATCTGTAATCTGGTCCGGGAACGCCTTGGGGTCCTGCCGGAGGAGCTGGTGGAGAAGGCCGGGGAGAGGATGGTCTGGAGCTCCCTAGTTGGGATGCTGCCTCCGCGACCTGGACTCGGATAAGCGGAGGAAGACGACGATGACGAGATTAACGTTTAATTTAAATAGTTAAATTTAATAGCAAAAGTTATTTTGAATCAGAAGCTAGGATCTTTTCTTTCAAATAACCAGAAATATTGTACCTTTTCTGTGTTTCGTTTCAATAATGAGGCAAGTTTAAAAATGAAGAAATTTTATTACTAACAACTTTAAACTGAAAGATTTGAAACAACAATTATAAACGACAATTCATGGATGACATTTTAATGACAATTTTTAACAGCTTTGATATTAAACTTGTTTAGAGGCAAACCTGTGGCTGGATGGAAGCTAAATTGAATATACGAGTTTGGATGCGTGAATGGAATTATCAGGAGGTTTCTTTCACAGAGAGAAGAAGTGCAGGGTTTCCCTTACATAGGCGTAGCCGTGGCGGGCCGCCACGGCTGAAATCCCACCGCCACGCCTACAACATCCCAAGTTTTATTGATGTTTTTTTTTTTTTGTTGCGCCGTTTCCCTAAAGAAGCAGCGGGAACTACTGTGTTGTTGCTTGTGATCACAGCTGGCAGGTAGCAAGGAGGAGGAGGCACGGCAGGGTGGTTACAGCTATGAGCGTACGGATAAAGCATTTTTGACGAATACGAGCAGGAAACGAGTGTAAAACTCCAAAATATCTGTAATCGTGCTGAATGAAATTCTCATTGGGTAACTGACTGTCTTCACGCTCTGTGATTGGCCAGTCAGATAGAGCGCCCGCCCCTCCCTACACACAAAACTGCAGTCGGGAGCTCTGTAAGCTCGGCCCAGGCATCAACGCACACACACACACACAGACAGTAAAGCCGGGCGGACACTGTGTGACTTTTTCATTTTTTTGAGCCGATTTTCCACTCGTGCGAGAATCCACGAGATCGGGGCGAGTTATGCGCTGAGCGTCGTGTAGTGTACAGGGGGTTACGAGAGGCGATGAACACCACGTGACCAGCTACCGATCAGCAATCATGAGCTCGCACCTGGAGTGTTTGATATTTTGCTCGTTCCTCATGAGGGTTGAAGCGGCGCAGCGAGCAGCTGCGACCCAAAAAGTATCAGAACCGCTCACGGCGGATTCGCAATCATGCATCAGCTCCGCTCACCCGCTATTTCCCTAATAACACACGTTGTTCGTTTTTATTTCTACACGTTTTTTTTTAACTCACAATGATTGTCAAGAAAGTGTGTTTGTCGTGTTCATGTCAAATTAAACTGATCACAAAACACAGATTTACTTTCTTTATTTCGTTTCCTCATCCAACCCCCATAAATCCCTGTGTGTCCTCCTGCAGCACTCCCGAAGGACAACAGGCAAAACAAGACAAAAAAGTCTGACGTGTTGTGTAAAAACTGCTATTTTTAGCATATTTTTAAGGGCAGACGTTTTGCTACCAGACGTACAGTGAGCACATGACTCGTGAGATCTACCCTGCGCTGAAGTCGCACAGTTTGAGCTGAAGCTTTGTTACGAGTGAAAAAGTCGCACAGTGTCCGCCCAGCTTATTATAATGTTCACTGTAATGCATCTTGATGTTCTTAACAAATAAATTAAATCAAAAATATTGGTCAATAATGCCAAATATGTAAATTTGTGTTTCAGTCATTTTCATACTGGCTTAAAAATACTTCATTAAGTCTACTAAGCAGGGGTGTAGAACGTGTTTAACAGGGCCAGCCCAGTAATGGTATTGGACCAAAATAAAGGGGTCAGAAAGTCAAATAAAGGGGGCAAAAGAAGATGTTTTTCCAGACGCCAAGAAAAATTAAATGCCAAATCCACCCTGCAAAGTGTGTCACTGAGAGTTTAAAACAGAAATTATTCTTGTGCAAAAATTGGTGTACTCACCTTTAATACTAGTTATTACAATGCAGCAGTCGCTGGATTGGTGCAGTTCAAAGTGGAGTGCATCAAATAAAACAATATTAACATAAAGGTGAGACGTGTCATACCACCCCCCCCCCCCGCCAAGACCA